AAGGAAGGAAGGAAGGAAGGAAGGAAGGAAGGAAGGAAGGAAGGAAGGAAGGAAGGAAGGAAGGAAGATAGTGACAAATTGAAGGCAGTTCAGGAGAACAGTACAAGGGCTGAGGAGACTGACTGATTGAGAAGATTAAAGAGCAGCACATGTACTGCTCCACTTTGGTAAGTAACAGCCACAGTTGGACATGATAACCATGCACAAATCGTGCCCTCAGGACTAAAAGGGATAATTTAGTGCTGTTCCCAGTGTTTGACTAGGAGTAATGGGATGAAATTAAGAAAGGGAAAATCTGTTTTGAATACCACAAAACCTGTCCTGACAGTAAGATTCATTACACTGTGCAAAAGTCTCCGTTGGGGGATAATGGAGAAGGTTCATATATATAATCTGTCAGCTTCAGTTTGCAGGTGTGCTTGCCAAAATTACCTTCAGGTTCTACCCACATGGTTTTGCATGTTAAATTACACATTTGCAATCCATGCATCACCTACATCCTGCCGCTCCCCACCCCCAAGAAACAGTCTGGAATCCTGGATGTGATTCTGTGCTGCAGTTTCTGCAGACTAAGGACACAAGTACAGCCCACAGGAAAGAGCAGACCACTTTAAAGTGAGGGCTGTGTTAATTTAGGGAAGAACTCCCTGGGCTGTGTTAGCTCCTGGATGGTTTTGTTCAGCGGTGCATGCACAGGTCCTGTCTCAGGATTTCTGTGCTGTTCCTGCACTGCCAGATCCCCTTTCTGGTACTTTTCTGGACATTGTGGACTCCCACATGTTGCTCAAATCTGTAAAAGTGCTACATCAAGAGCCAAAGTCAGTTCCCTTGAACTTCATCTGCTCGAACATCAAAGCCAAGGAAAACCACTGAGTTTCTTGTGGACTTTTCTGACCACTATAAATCAATTCCAGTCTTGAAATGGAGCCCAGGTTCACCTGGAAGGGTCACCAACTGTGGTGAGTTTTCCGTTTAATGCATTCTGAGCTTCACAAACAATGAAAGTATTGCAGAACATCAGACCCCTTGGAAATCTCACCTGGCTCAGCTGGGAATCACACTGCTTGTGATGCCTGAACCTACACTAAACAGAACACGTGTAAATGATTTATGGTGAAGAAAAATGTTGCCAGAGCTATAGATGAGGTAGCTGGGCCTCACCCCCACCTCCTTTTATAATTATTTTCTGGCATGTGGGACCTTTTCTAACCCCTGCATTCTACAGGTGATTTCTTTTTTACAAATACTATCTTTTCAGCTCAAGGAGCATTTGGACACTACCCTCAGGTGTGATTTTTTTGTGTCTTCTGTGCAGGGTCAGGATTTGAAGATCCTTGTGGGTCCCTTCCAATTCAGGATATTCTATGACTCTCTGATTCGCTCACTTTTTCAATGCTTCACTCTTAAAATATTTGATTCAGCAGGTATGGTAAGAACAGCAATCAAACAGTGCTGCAAAGACTGTTGTGTTTCCAAAATAGCAAGAATGTGATTCCACTTTAATTCCACTGAAAAAGGACAAGAATATGTAGTGGTCAACGTGGTTGAAGAATAGAGCACAGAAAAGTTATATGAACCGAAAAATGTACACTGAAAGTAGAGAATTGTAGGGAAAGGGAAGTTGGGTAGAGAGAACTGCAGAACACTTGGACAAATGTGAACTGAAGCCAGAGCTAAGATGAAGATGTTAATGTATTTCAAAAGTTTATTGTATGGGGGAAAAAAAGACTGGTAAAAAAACCAAATCAAACTATATATATTGGTGGAACTTCAAATCAGTCCAAATAAACAAATCTGTTCAATTTCCTTCATCAGCTGGTCTTTGAGAAGAAATTCAGAAAAACATCCAGAATCACAGAATCAGCAGTGAAGGAATATATAAAAATTAGTCAGGGAAAAATGTTAGCATCCACAACTGACCATTAGGAATAGATGAGATGAATCCCATGACACGAAGAAAATAAATTCAGAGAGACTTTATAAAATCGCTGAATGTTGGAGCAGACATGTTAAAGCCCCTTGAATGACTCTGTATCTGCTGTTTCCTTATTTCAGAGCAGTTTTGTATATACTCCATTATCATACAAGGCTACAAGGACCAAAAGGGAAAAAACAATAAAAATATCCCATATCTTAGTAAGATTTGCTTTTAATTTGCCTTCAGCTATACGAATGCCACTTTTCCCTGAAAAAAAAAGTAAAATTACAACTAATATTGTGCATCAGAACAGCTTTACAGCAACCTTTATTTGGAAGCAGTGCCAAAGAGTTCACAGCACTGTAGAAAATGCTGCTCTAAATATTTGAAGAATGTATTCTCTGTGTTCAATGGCAGAGTTGTTTCTGGCATGTTATGGTTATTTTTAAGATACCTTAATCTCTGGCAATGCCCATAAGGAGCAAAATGCAGCCTCATTGCAACCACATTTATCTCCAGAGGTCACAGAAATCTAAGAATACGAGAGGTCATGTTGTTCCCAATGCATTTGCCAGAAACAGAAATACAGATTTTATTTCCAGCTTGAGGGGCAGTGTTTGGTTGCCTGTCTCTTGGGACACAAGTTAGAGACCCCATACTTTATCACAGTGATAGTCCTGTCCAAAGCTGAGATTTTGATAAGACTCAAATGAGAAAGATGATAATGAGAAACACTGTTTGTGGATGCTGACATCTTTTCCCAAATGTTTCCTGATAACAGAAGAGAAATGCTCCCATAGTTCTGCCTCACTCAGACTGACACATGGTCAAACATTATTTTTTTTCTTCTTCTCAGTCTCTTAGAAGGTATCATCAGGCAGGGACCACTTTTGTACCCAGTGTAGATGATTCCCTCCTCCCAGTATCTGGGCTCTGTTGAGTGTTTGGCTGTGTATGACCATACTAATGTGAGGAGTGCCTCTCACCCCTGTTGTTAATGCACATATTTCCAAGCACAGCAGCACTTAAACAGCTATAAACAGAGGCCAGTTGCTGACACAAGGTAAAAAGCAGCATTGTAAAAGTAGCAAAATCACAGTGAAGTGGATCAATATGCTTGTTGAAGGAAAACACAGGCAAATTTAGGGATAAAAAATTTAAAAGTACTAGAAATTGAGGGTGCAAAAGCATTTCACAGACTTACAAATCTAAAAGTTTGGAGATGTTGCATATTCTAACAGGGAATATTTTGCTAGCAACTCCCAGCAGCAGCAAGGGGGAATTACAGAGCTCACGTGCTTACAAGCTGCTTAAAAGTTAGGAGGGGCACCCATCTATCCTGTGCTGAAGTCAAGGTGAGAATGTAGGTATCCCCAAAGGCATTCCCAACAGCACTGCCATAGAGAGACAGATTTCTCTCCCTATTTACCCTGCTTCTGATGAAGAAACTGGGATGTGCCATTTTTGTGGGTTATAGTTGGGCAAGGTATGTACCTCACTTAAAATCAGATATATTGCATTTCAAAGCAAGGGAGAGAAAACCTCTGTACATTAAGGCTCTCCTTAAATAAATGAAAGAGGAACTTTTATAATTATTTTGTGCAGAGACCAAGCACAGGGTGATTTTGAGAGAGTCAAAAAGGAAGGTGAGACAGGCTGTTGAATATAACACTGACCCAAAGAACCTCAGTTTTGAACAGCTGGGGGTTGTGATGCCTGAAACCAGCTCTTTGAATTTCTGCATATTATTATGTTTGAAAGCTGGAGCCGTATTAGTGATTTCTCGTGCAAACTGGAACTACTCCATGGGTATCTGGTATTTGGGACATATTTTAAAGGAAGTTAAGCTTTGTTTCCCCAATCTAAAAAAAATGAATCTGAAATAGAAGACGTGTAGATGGCAACTGGTGCAGGTTTTAAAGATGGGCATAATATATTGAAAACCCATATCTCAGCAAGTAAGGACTGAATTTAATAAAGACAGAGAAAGCCTGGTTCTAATCACTGGGTGTCCATTAAAAAAAACCACATTCTTTTTAATTATTATCTATATATTTCAGTAAAGAAAGTGTTAGTTTGCTTTTTTCTTTGGATCAAGTCTGTCTAAATTGTTTATTTTGCCCTTTAATGCCCTGAAAAAGCCCTTTTGAAGACCTTGTAACACAGTGAGAATACTCTAAAAGGTGTACTTCCAAACCCACATTTTCAAACATACATGAATATTGCTGAATACATGACCATATAAGTGAATTTTATCAATTCCCACTTTGAAAAATGACATAAGAGCCAAGGAAATTCCCTTGACTGTGCAAACTGCCCTTGCAAGTACTTTACCTGCAGAACGAAACCTCCTGTGCAAACAAGGAGTTTTCTGGCTGTGTCCCAGCCTTGAGCTGGCTGACATTGAAGTACGAGAGGGTGTGATTGATGAAGCCATGCATGGTTCCATTCTGACTGTATGCATATTGATACATAAGGCGTGGGATGAAATCAGAGGTGACAGCAATGACAAAAGCCTGAGAGATGGAAAAAGCAAAAAAAAATCAAATGAACAAGCAAACAACAGCATCGTGAATCTGTGTCTCCAGGTTAGTTAATTCAGGGGAAAAATTTCATGTTCAGGTAAACTTAGAGTGGTGGTAAAGGAAGAGTTATAAGGCCAGAATCGATACAGAACATTTGCATATAAATGCACAGTATAAACCTGTATATAATATAGATAATAAAACTGCTCTGTCTCTCCAAAGGAAGGCTCAGCTAGGGAAGTAGCAAAAGTAACTAACTGACTGTCCATTGCTCCAATTCTTTTTATTTCTGGAGCCATTAGGAGGTTTATCACTAGTTTAAAAAACACCTACAACAAACTTATTAGCCAGTTGGTATAATTTGGCCTATATTTTGGTTACACCAAACAATGTCAATTTTCCCCTCAGCACAAGGATTCACACATCTCACATGGGGGATATTAAACACTAAACATTTGATACATGCTGGTATTAAAACTCATGAGACTGGTATCCCGTAAAATTGGTGTAATTGTGGAGGCAATCGATCACAGAATATCAATAAGAATTCCTTTGATTTCTGCTCTGGATGCACTCCTATTGGAGCAAGTCCAGAGAAGGCCATGAAGATGGTCAGAGAGCTGGAGCCCCTGTGCTGTAGAGACAGGCCAAGAGAATTGGGATTGTTCAGTCTAGAAAAGAGAAGGATTTGGGAGGAGACTTTAGAACCCCTTCCAGTGCCTGAAGAGACTCTAAGAGACCTGGAGAGGGACTTTTGACAGGGGCCTGGACTGACAGAACAAGAGGGAATAGAATCAAACTGACACACAGGAGGTTTAGATTGGATATTAGGAAAAAAATGTTCCTTTTGAGGGTGCCCAGAGCAGCTGTGGCAGCCCCATCCCTGGCAGTGTCCAAGGCCAGGTTGGATGGGGCTCTGAGCAAGCTGGGATAGTGGAAGGTGTCCCTGCCCATGGCAGGGGCCTTGGAATGGGATGGTCTTTAATGTCCCATCCACCCCAACCATTCTATGATCCTATGATGATTTAAAATTATATTTTGCTAAATAATAATTTCCTGTGTCAGTATTATCCAGATGGAGAAGTAGAATTGGGCATTCACTGTTTTGTTTTTTTTTTCAAACAGGTATGCACATAGTTATATTCCTTTCAAGAAAATGTATCTAACTCATACTTTAATGGAATCCCCAGGAAATAAAAATTTCTAGAGTTCAATCAAGACAGAAAATAATCAAGGATCATAATCTGCAAAGTGTATTCAGAGAAAAACAAGAGGCTGCAGAGTTTTTATCCTCCAGCATAGCTCAGTGCTGGACAGCTGAAATCTGTGCCTGACAGTGAGATTACGGGGATGTGCGGGGTTCCACAGATTTCGTACCTTAAATTCTGGAAACTGGAAAGCCATGAGTGAACAATGTTCCACCCAAGTGAAACAACACTGCTGGAAGCTTTAGAGTGCTGTGCTGTTGTGCTAGAAGCTATTTTATTAAAGAAATTGCATAACAACCCCTCCACAAGTTCTCCCTTCAATAGTAAAAATTACCTCCCTTTCTAAAGAGCTTTGACATCTTTAATATTTCTGGTATCATCCCATGACCTTAAAGGTATTTTCCAACCTAAATGATTCTATGAGTTTATGATCTGTAGGTTAAAAACTCACTAGAAACTATCAGGATGAAAGTCCTAGGGCATGAGATTTTTTTATCTTAAAGCATATACAGGAAAATTTTACTTAGAGAGTACATAAAGCACAATAAATATAACGTATCTGTATTCTGTTGTATTTGAGCAATTGAGAAAATTAGATGCCACTTTTAAATTATGTTGAAGGGCCAATGAAATATAAAATATTATAAAGATTGAATTATAAAGAATTTTAAATTACATTGAAGGAACAGTATAAGCTCCAGTATAAGATCATGGTTAGAAATTAGTATAACCAAACACTTACATTAATCATCACTGAAAGCTTTCCAATACAACTCAAGATGTTATACCAAATACCTGTAAGTGAAAGAAGAAAACTTACTCATTATTCATTATAACGGGTTCATTATAAATTTTCTTTGTATTTTTGGTCTAATCTTCGCTACAGTGCTCCTTCATTACTCACCTATATCTTTTTCTCTCACTGTGTCTGGCCTCCTCAGCTCAGTAACAAATTTTTTTGCATCAAGACGAACCTCGATGATGTTGTTCAGAAGAGCAAAGACAGGGGCCAGAGGGAAGGAGGCAACAAAGAGTGTGACAAAGCCAAATTGGATAACTGGGGGAAAAAAAAGAAACATTTTTTGATAGCTTCTGAAGGGAGCAGCAAATTGTTAATGAGCTTTGTGCATTACCAACCCCATAAAATTCTACTTCCCAGTTTGGTCCCAGAAATAAATATCCCAGAATAGGGCTATGAAAAGACAAAAGTTTGTCACTATGCTTTATGAGTGTTTCCAATAAAGCCTCAAGTTGCTAGCACAAGCACAAGCCAAAGGAAAATAAATTTAATAAAGGACAAAGGGTTCAGAGTCTATTTTTCTGCATTTATACATAATTAACTGATTAGTCCATGCTGTTTCTTTCCTGTGCTTTTCTCTGTAAGGAAAATTATACACAATCAACTAAAAGAAGAAAATCTACAAGTTGCCACTATTTCTTCCAGCTTCCTTTGAAAAACTTGGTGGCAGCCTGTGAAAAGCAAGAACAGAAGTGTCTCTGTGGATGCAGGAGCCAGTGGTGCTGTGCAGCACTTTGATCCCTCCTTTTGTCACTGATATCCTCCAACTTTAGAAATACTACTCTTTAAATCTGAATGAAGGTGAATTTTATATAAATATATATAAATATAAATATATTAAACTAATAAATGCGACTGTGATCTACATCTCAGAGTTAAAAAAATATTAGCATAGAAAAAGTATTGGTGTGTTTAAATGCCATATTTACTGCGGCATCTTTTTTGGCAAATTCCTGTATAAGTTCTCTCTCCACTGAGGGAGGAATTTCACTTTTCTGAGAAAATAGTACAATATTCTGTGTACATAGCACAATATATATGTACTTTATATATATGCACTATATAAATATATTCTATATATATACACTGTATATATACTATAAATATATACCATATATACTATAAATACATACAGTATTTATAAATACATATATATATATAAATATAAATATATATAAATACATATATTTACTGTATTTTATACTTTAAAATATTTTCCTTCAGCACTGTTGTCACAACCTACAACTAACTCTTGAAACAGTTTTCCCCAGGACCTTCTCACATACACTTGTTTTTTTGTGTACAGGTTGCAAGTTATCTGATATTTCCTCTTTCTCATCTCAGGAACAATAAAGTAAAATCTCTGTATAACAATTATTATTATTATTATTATCATTATTATATACTATTTTCAGTATATACTATATTTATTATATATATATAGTATTATTATCATTAATATATACTATTATTATTATTATTATTATTATTATTATTATATGGCCTTTAGATTTTCATTCTTACTTTTTTTTTCTGAGATAAAGTGTATACACTAAGATGGAGCTTTTTCAAAGCACAGAATATCCTACTTTTGAAATCATACTTTCCTGACTATTCAGAGTCAGGAAAAGGAATTAACACGGAAATAAAACCAGATATTAAAGTAACAAAAACGTTTCCCCAAAACTGTGAAATTCTTAGAAAAATACATAGCCCCAAAATATGCCTTATTTGTTTCTAAGTGAATTTAGCAGGAATACAGCTGGGAGGATTCTGTAAAAAGATAAAATGAAAAGGAAAAAAAAATAAAATATTTGCAATGCTTTAAGAATAAACCACACACACATTTCCTTTGATGTTGTTTGTAGCCTCTTCATTCATTGTCTGGGAAAATGCAGTTAAAATTTTTTTTCCAGTTCATGAAAAAATGTTCAAGGTATGCAAAGGACTTCTGGATAATTGTGTAAATATGTTTCATAGAAAACTGTGCCAGAAGTGTTTGTGTGGCCATCTTGAAATCTCTTCAACCTTCTCAACTCCTTATGAAAGTGTAAATGATGCAAAAAGCAGGCAAAAAAGCAATCCCAAAGCCAAAACCAGAATTTAGATGGCCTTGGGTAACAAATTAGCAAACAATCATTAAATGGAGGAGTCTTTGAACAGCCTCAACAATTCACAGGTACTTGTTGAGTGTGATCAGTGTTTCTAGAAACAAACCTGAATAGATTACAAAGAGAGGTATTGCTGTCCAGATCCTAGGAGGAATCTTTTCTCAGTATCCTGGAGTTCTGTGGATGCCTATCTGGTCACACTGGAAATATTTACACTACTTTTAGGACACTCACACTCCTCCTTAAAGGACAGTTGACACCAAGTCATCCCTTTTTTGGCTGAAAAACTTGATGGCAACCCTTAAATACCCTTTTTTACATTTATGTTTATGCCATAAGGTCTCCATAAAAAGCCGTTCATGTACATGGAAAAGGCTAAAGAGACCTGTGCCAGGAGCTGGACTGTTTCATAGTTTTCCTACTCCCCTGGTAAGCCAGTCTAGAGAAAAGAGAGATGAAAATTCCCCATGTTCATGGCACAAGCTAGAAAATAAAACAATTGAAGGTTGGGTGTTGTGGAAAGTCAGCTACATGCGAAATATCTTCTTGGGCATCCAAACATGACTCTGGATGTGCTGTCACTGACACAAAGCCTACTTCTGATGAGGGAAAAAGCCCAAACCACGCACTAGTGGTGCCCTTACTGTCTGAGTTGAGCACGAAAGAGGCCAAGGGCTCAGAGCCAGCCCTTCAGTTTCGCAACCCCTGATGCCACATCTGCAATACCTCATCCAGCCTCCGGCCAAGACAAAAACTCTGAAGGACAAACATCATCCAAAGAAGTGTCTCAGGTCACAGCCCTTCTCAGAAGTCAGCTCTTCACAGAAACTGTGCAGGGCCTGAGCAGAACCTGAGTACAACAATAACACAACCTGTCCCTCCAAGTCTGGCCTCCAAGTTATGACTAAGAGCACAAATCAAAGCTTTTAAATTATGGATCTGGAGGGTGGTGGCTGCTGTTCTTGTGTAAGGGATAAAGAATCAGTCCTCAGCAGAAAACCCTCCATGGTGTGGATCACTCAGGTTCTACAAGATTTACCTGCTCAGTAGTGTGAGGAACCCAAGTGTCTTTTACCTCAAAGCCTCGCCTAAGACAAGGTATTTATTTATGATTCTGTTGCTTTTTTTTCTTTCTTCTTTATCAATAATATCTGTCATAGGATCATGTGTTACTAGAAGTAAACAGTGGAAAAATCACTTCTGTGCTAAGCAACTTTCCAAATCCTAGGAAGAAACTTTTTGATATATAGCCAGACCTGGCTGAAAAACTAAGGAAAAGGTGTAATTTATAACTCTTCTGTAATAAATGTATGTAACAAGCCTACACACAACCACCAATGGTATTTTCAAAACCATCCTCATTATAGACATTATAGAAAAATGCAGTTTTCTCTTCAGTGATTTTTTTTTTCTTTTTCTGCCTCACATATTGCCTTTTATGATGGCTTTTCCTGCTTTAGGGGAAATTCTTCCAAACTGCTCAGATTAATCCTTATAGTAGTCAGTAGCTACAGACATGAGATCTGATCATTTTCTTACTGGGCCATTGTTTTTAAACAGAAGTTGGATGATGAAACCTTTTATTATTATTTTTTTCTTGAGGAAGAAAGTTTTTAATCAATTGCCACATGAAGCCTGGACTCCTAGATGGGTTAGGCCAGAGAAGGAAAGACTAAATGAAATAGGAATCTGAAAATCATTGCTGATTTCAGTTTCTTCTCAAGGAAACACAAGTGGTATAAATTTCAGACATTCATGTGCATCATTTTGCTCTTGGAGCCAATTTAATGAAGTTTCTTCCATTAGCAATATTTATTGCTACTCTAAACATCATTTTACAGCATTTTACAACAAATTTCTTGCCAACTTCTATCACTGCAGGCCAGTTAGACATGATGCAAACTTGCTGCCATGTGGAAGAGGAAATTGCTGTACATGCTACCTACTTTGGGAATGCACATAGTATGGTATATTGGCCTGGGTCAAAAGTCTTCGCACAGTTTTGGAAGCAGGAATTGCTAAGGAGAAATTAGATACATGTTGACAGTGATAATTTATGTTTCAGGATTACTTGAGAAAAATTTTCGGATCACTCAAGTGTTTTAAGAGTGTATCCACTAAGAAATGCAGGAATATGTCAATTAATAATATCAAAACAGGCAGTCATCAGAAATGTCACTGATTTGTCACAAGTCAAATCTTTGTGCAGAAGTGCTATTGACAGCCAAGGCTTACACAACAAAAAAGTTCAGCACAGTCTGCTGGTGAAATCAGATTCAAAGACCCTAAAAAATTAATCTTGTTACCCATAGAATCATTTGGGTTGGAAGGGACATTTAAATGTCATCTTCCCCAAACCCATGCAATAAGCAGAGGTTTTCAACTAGATCCTGTTGCTCAGAGCTTCATCCAACCTGACCTGGAATGTTTCCAAGGATGGGGAATCCACCACATCTCTGGGCAACCTATGCCAGTGTTTCACAATCCTCATTTTAAAAAAATTCCTTCTTACAGCTAACCTAATTTGTTGGCATGGACTACAGTGACTGGTATTTTGCAGAAACAAATTCCAGTGAACAGAGTCACATGTCCCAAATCGGAAAATAGAGTAGGTTAAAAAATAACCAGTGAATCTTGCTATTTCTATGAACCTACCATGATTGTAATGACGGCAGGGGTAGGAGAGTGAGAAAGTGGAAGTCTCTCTAAGGCTTAAGGATTGTTAGTATAAGAAAAAGAACTAAAAAGAAAACAGCTTTGAAATGGACATCCCAGAATTTAAGTGGGGTACTGATCATCAAAAATTCCTTTACTTGTGGTGCATCATGCTGCAAAACACATCCTGAGACTGTTCCAAGCCCTCTCCCTCAGAGAAGTGCTGCCTTAATGGGATTAATTTGCTTCATAACAAAGTGCAAAGAGAATGTGTGATTTGCCATGTGTGGAGTGGGCCAGACTCCAGGTTTTGACAGAAATCAGTAAAAGAGAGCGGATATATGGATAGAAAAAAAGCAAGAACTGCCTGTGATTAGGGTACAGCCTAATGAATGATACACCTGGAGGTAAGAGTCTTAGCTAAGGATGTCATCCATCCTCAAAAGTAGGAGCATCCTGGCAGGACAAACCTGAATGTAGAGACTACTCATACTTGTATACATAATCTGCCTGCTTTTGCATGAAACCCCATCATCATCTGCATGGGGAAACCCAAAGGCTGCAGCAAGCCCCATGTGTAGTTCTTCCTTCAGCTGCTTCATTCCAGATTGCCACTGGTGCCTGAGGAAGGTTGCCTGAGTAAATCAGTGTGAAAACTAAGAAAGAAGTTCTGAAACAGCAGCCAGATTTCTCTCTTTTCCTTAATATCACATCTCTTCTTACATTCCAGTAACCTTGCCTTTTTAAGCAATTCAGGATAAAAAAAAATACCTTCCTCTGGCCTTCTGCATTACTTCCCTTCCCACTGTCCCCAACTCAAAATTAGAGAAATAGGTGAATAATCTGCTGAGCTGCCTCTTGCAGCGTGATGCCCTTGAGAACAATCCCAGCTGACAGGTTGAGTGCTGAGCTGCACCAAGTGCTTCCTGCCAGCGTGGGTGGTCTGAGCAGTGGATCTGACAGCTGAAAGCAGGGACGTGGACCCAGGGCAGCAACCAGAGTTGGGGAGGTGCAGCTTGGCTTTCATCTGCCACACATTTGTCTGCAAATCACATAGGCAGGGCACAGCTTGGCACACTGTGAGGCTTCTCCACTTGGGAAGCTTACCCTCCTGTTTTAAGCAAAGGTATAGATCAATAATTCACCCATTCATTTTCCCTGAATTATCCCCGAGTGGGTGCGGGCTGAGGCACTCGCCATGGTTTATGATCCCAGCAAAAGGGACTGATCTAAATTACAGGCTCAGTGTGCAGTGATTTATAACATCAGTACCTTAAACCCTGATACTACAAGTCAGAACCATGGAATAGAATCAGAATATCCCAAGTAGGAAGGGAACCATCAAAATCCAACTCCTGGCCCTGCACAGGACAGCCCAAGAATCCCACCATGTTCCTGAAAGCATTGTCCAAACTCTGGCAAGCTTGGGGTTGGGACCACTCCCTGGAACAGGAACCCCCCAAACCTTAACAGACTGTGGTGATACTTCTGCATTTCTTTTTCTTTTTTTTTTTTTTTTTTTATAAACACATTAACCTACTCATTTTAGTGGCCATGATTTGACTCATCTTGGCAACTTCAACAATTTGCTCCTAAAATTAAAAAACCCAAACAGTTCCCTAAGGGACAGCATAACAAATGGCTAAACATGGGAGCTTCAAGAGGTATTCTGAAGTCAAAACACAGGTAAGGAAAACCCCACTGTAGCTTTTATTCATTGAAGGACAGACTACTGACCTGCTTCCTTTCTGAACAGGTGGCCTTAAATGAACCCATAAAACAAATTTGACATTTTGGAAATTTTGTTCAAACTTGCTGCATCAACAGCAAACTCAAGCAATGCTGACAAACATCACACCAGTATGTATTTGTTACTGGTAACTAAAGGCCCTTGTCCTTAGACCTAACCAAGAAATCTGGGTTGTTAAAATACAGATGTTTCTGAGTTATTCCTAAGCATAATTTTTTTTTTTACAGGGAAAAAGTGTCTATGTTTTTTCACCATTGTTTAATTTCAAAAATTGCTAAGAGGCTTGCTTAAAGTTTACAGGAAGAAAAATCATCTTGGGCTGAAGTAATTAATGGAAAACAATCAGATAATTTTTCAACAAAGTATCATCATGTGCAAAAGGGGATGGAGTAATAGAAGTGGCAACACAGACAGATCCTAAGGTGAGTTGAAACAGTTGAGAAGGAAATAATGGGAGGTGATGGATTCTTGATGGCACTACAGAGGGCAAGGTTGGGATGCCAAACATATTAATAAGACATCCTCAAATCTGCCATCATGTGAAATACCTCATATACACTTACACATTTATAGATTTACATAAATCTACTATTATATATATTATCATGTAGTAAATTTTAGATTATAAATTATATCTACAAACCAAGATTGTTTCTGTATAGAGAGATAAACCATATATGGTATTTAATCTTTTTGCCATAAAATGTGTTCCCCTTTAGATATTTTGAGAATTAAAACAGGAGTTGCCACATTCAATATTTAAGAGATTCCTGGTTTTAGACACCATGCCCACTGTGCTTCTCCCTGAATTCTTGTGTGCCCTAAAGCTTGGGTTTGCCTGGACTATTTCTGTCCTTTCTACTCCCCCACCCACAGCATTCTTGCTTTCTCCTTCCCTACCTCTCCAGGGTCTACTCATGAAGCAGCCACAGGGCTGTGCTGCCCAGTAGAAGAAAAACATGGACACAGTGCAGTGAATCCACTGGAAAGCCATGAAGATGGTTAAGGGATCAAAGGACCTGACAAACAAGGAGAAGCTGAGACCACTGGGATTGCTGTACCACAGGAAAGGAAGATTGAGGGGATCTTACCCATGTGGCAGGTTGGAGAAGACAGAGCTAAAACCTTCTCAAGGGCACCCAGTGAAAGGACGAGAGCACCAGTGGAAATGTAGGCAGTGCAATTTAAACATTAAAAAATCCTTTGTGTAAGGGTGATCAAATACTGGAAAAGTTGTTTAGTCTCCATCCCTGGAAATACTCAAAACCCAACTGGACAAGTCTCTGAGCAACATCCTCTAGCTGACCCTGCTTTCAGCAGGAGGCTGGATCAGATGATCTCCAGAGATCCCTCCTCACTATAGCTATTAATTCTGTGGCCAAATAGTTTCTATGCACTTTACTCAGCTAGGAACACTGGAATCTGACATCAGAAGTACTAACAGATACTGGAATTCATGATTATTTCTCTGTTGGCACTATGGTAGTCTCATAGCCCTGCTGGCTTACATGGAATTTCTGCAAACTACAAGTGCTGGGGTATTTTTTCCCACCTTCTCATGACCACTCCTGAGATGCAGTCCTATGTAAAGCCGTGGTTATTGTGGAAAAGGAAAGGAAATTCTGAAAACTTACTCATTTCCATGTATTCTGGAGTCAGCCCAGTGAAAGGTTCCAAGATGTAGTCAAGATTCCATTGCTGAGGGTCCTTTGATTGGTTGGTGTCCATTTCCTTTAGCTCAGTTCTTTCATCCTTCAGCTTCCTGAACAGCTTCTTGAGCTTTCTGAGGAACAAAAGTTCAGACTGAACCAAGTCTGGTTTTGTTTTGGTTTTGGTTTTTTTTTCTCTAAAAGATTTGGCTCAATCCTTTGCACAGCAACACAAAACTAATCTTGTGTGCATCACAGGGCAAGTTTACACCACCCTGGGAAGTTCTGATGTTGTTTATTTATAGGTACAAGCTACTGGAGTTGAATCTAGTACTTTATAATATTTTTCCTCTCTAGATGTATATTCCTTCCCAAAGATCCTTGGACCTAAGTAACATTAGTAATTAGTGCTTTCAAGAACAACATAGTGAGCACCTCTCCTCTTAACAAAATACAAAATATAAGGGTTTCATTCCACATTTCTACTACAAGCACACTTTTATCTCATTATAAAAATTAGGAACTTCCAGTATAATAGAATTTTAAGGAAAAACTTACTAGACATTCATGGGTTGCCCAGAGAAGCTGTGGCTACCCCATCCCTGGAAATGTTCAGTGCCAGGTTGGATGGGACTCTAAGAAACCTGGGATAGTGGAAGGTGTCCCTGCCCATGGCAGAAGCTTGGAACTGGATGAGCTTCAAGGTCCCTTCCAACCTAGGCAATTTTGTGATTACGGGATGTTTCCAATCAAAGAGGATGCAAGAATGTACTGACAGTAGAAATAGCAGTATCAAACACTGTCCCACTGAGATGGGGATACAAATTTAATGACACTGACAAATAAATTAGAGTAAAATTAATAATTTCTAGATGAAGAGTAAAGTTTTCCCTATGTCCCCTCCCTGCTGTGGAGGGAGGCCAGTCCTCCGAAAGGCTTCCACCTTGAAGATCTGTCCCCTAAGATAAAACAAAACTACTTAGTCATGGTGACTAAGCTGTGGACTCCTTCCTGCTTCAGCACCCCATGTTATCTCCTTGTAAACTATTGGTCATTTTATCCCTGTCTTAAACCATTGGTCCTTTTCCCAATTCTCCCCTGGTCCTTTTCCCAATTCTCCCCTTCCTATAAAACCCCAGCTTTTTCCCAGTTCAGGGGAAGGCTGTCACTGGCCTCCTTTGCTGAAGCCTGCCCATAAAGGACTCTGTGGAATGCTACACGGCCTCCCGTCTCTCGTCCCTGCGTCAGCTGGGGTAACCCATGAGCTGAGCTGAACCCTCTGCCAATGATATTTTAAATACATATGCATCAGCAACTTCATGCTATTTTACACAGAAATTCCCATGGAAAACAACAGTAGAATGAGGTATTTATTAGCAAAATATAGTTGAATTAAAAGAAAATAGCCAGATTTATACTTAATGCATATCTTTCTTTTGCAGATGATATTTATCTTCCACAGAAACATACAGCACTATTTTACAGCTCTTCACATACGTGCCATGAATGGAAATCCAGACTAATTCCAGTGATGTTTTGCCAGTAATGTAAGCAGGGCTCTCCCACAAACTCTTCCCCCACAGCCTGTGATAAACCCTTTGAATTGTAGGTGTGTGGCCTGGATACAGGAATATTTGAGGGAAGGGGTTTTCCTTTGGACCTCCAGGGAAGCAGAACCACTTTCCTGGACCCTGACTTCAGTAGCAGGGCAAGGCTGAGAAACAAAAGCTGGCAAACACAATAAAGGCTTTGCTGTGTGGGTTTATTGCTTCATTCCCAACTTTACACTGAACCATGGGATCACTGTGTTCCCACAATGACTGAGGAATTTCTGCACCTACCAGTGTTTACAGGACACATTCCATTTCATCACCAGTATGGAGGAATTGGGGATTGGAAGATACTCTTTAAACAGGTCTAGATTGCATCAAGCCCTCTCAGATCCTGGATCATAAATCTTCAAAAATCAACGGGACAACTCCGGCTTTTGTTTGAGGTGGAAGGAAGATGTAATTCACAAGTCTGATGTTAACATCATCGGTACTATGGCATTGCTGGTACCCAGGACACTCAGATTACATAGTTTTAATGAAAGGGCAGGGCAAATTTAAAATGCTTCCCAAGACAGAACTAGATAAATCCTTACGAAGACATTAACCTCCTACATCATGCAAACTCAGCCATTTCAAGACACTAAAATTCCCTTTCTCCTCCTCTGCCTTTATGGCATCCAAAGGAACTTATCTGTGACAGAGGTGATGTACCATTCAGAGGGTAGGAGGCTGGGGTAGGATTTAAAGCAATCACAGAACTCCCAGGATGCTCTTCCAGTATATCCCAATTAATTTCCTAATGTGAGGGACTCTCAGAGGATGGTGAACAATAAGTTCAAGACAGTGCTGATTTCTGTTCCAATGAAATGATACGAGCTATAAATGTCCCTCACACTTCCACGGGCAGATGAGAGTGCTGATCATCTCATTGTCATGGCACAGCAGCAGCTGAGATAAAATTTGGGTGTGTTTAGATGTGAAATCTGTGCACATGTGATCTAATCCTTCAGCTACAGCACCACAGAATCCAGTTCTGGAGTTTAACACACACACACCTCCCAGGAGAACCCAGTAACTAAAACAATTTTTGTTGTTCTTCATGTTTATTTGAGAATACACCAAATCCAGGGCTCAGTTGCTCAGAATAATTTTTAATTTTTCATCTGGTTATCTCTAAGTCAGGCATGAGGAACAGCACCTTTAACCATTTGGAGTTTAGCTTTGAAGAGTGTCTGTATGCTTCTTTTTATGTTTTTTTTTGAAAGATCAACTGACTGAAAGCAAGCCAAACCAATTATTTCCAATTTTCCACCAAAAAAAAAAAAAAGTACCTTTGTGTCATATTCCAAGCATGTGAAGTTTGAAACCAAGCAGAAATGTGTCAGAAAGTTAAAGGAACAGAGAGGAGGGATTTGCAGGATGTTATTCTCCAGCGACACAGCAATAGGGCAATTAAAATGAGTTTTGCAGAACTCTGTGTCTGTACTTACGATTGTAATGCTAAAACTGAGTATGCTTTTTAAATGTCTTTGTTTGAAGCCTGTTTCTTAATTAACCAGATCAGTGTTTTTAAAGAAGATGGGCAGAAAAAGAGTTCTTTTAGCTTCTGATTTGCTCCTGCCAGCCAGCTCCCCACACTGAGGAAGAGGTAGGTTTGGCCATTCAGGATGAGTGTCCCAGAAGCTTTGTACAGAAGAGGCTCATGCAGCAGTTTCATGACTCCAGAGACCTGGGCAAAGAGGGAAAATTGTAGAGCTGTAGAATAGACATTATTTCTGGTCCTTTTGACAGGGAATGTCAAAAAGCAAGGTGCATCCTTAAGGAGATTGAACAGCATGTGAGAAGAATGAATGCAGGATGAGTGGGAAAGAAAATTAACAGGTTTTTGTATCTAGGCTGTATCTCGAGCAGTTAAAAATGACACTGCAGCTTCTCACAGGGGATTTGCATCAAATGCTTGTGTTAGGTAAGAGGTGGGAACATGATTGAATTATGCTGATTGTAATTCCCAGTATAACCAATGAGCACTGCATTATGCACGTTAACAAGCATCTGAAGTGAGCATAAAATCACTACAGCCCCACCTGCCAATAACCCTCAAGCTGCTGTGAATAAATATGATTAAAAGAGAAAAATCAAGCTCCAAGTGATCCTGGCTGGGATGTAAGCACATGGTGATTAGATAAAGGCTCCTTTTTAAAAATCAGAAAGATGATTCAACAGTTTCTCTATTGATACTGTAAGAAGGAGCAGCTGGATTTGTGGGATCTAGGGGAAAGAATGATGATGACTTGGGAAAAATGAGAGATTTGTGGAGTGAGAGAGTGGAATGGATAGAGGCTGAAGAGGTGGGGCATCTGGAGGGAAGGTTGAAAGAGGACAGATGGAGGAAAATTACTTTGTTGGCACAAGCGTTTACGTCTTCAGTGGTTGTACAATTGGGATTGTTCAGTCTGGAGAAAAAAAGGCGCCACAGGGCCTTAAGTGAGCCTTCCAATGCCTGAAGGGAACCCACAGGAAAGATGGAGAGATACTATTGGCAAGGGATGGAGTGTGGGAAAAGGGGGAATGGCTTCACACTGACAGAGAGCAGGTTTACACCGTATATTGTGAAGAAATTCCTTTCTGTGGGGGTGGTGAGGCCCTGGCACAGGTTGCCCAGAGAAGCTGTGGCTGTCCCATGCCTGGCAGTGTCCAAGGCCAGGTTGGATGGGGCTCTGAGCAACCTGGCTAGTGGAAGGTGTCCCTGCCCATGGCAGGAGCTTGGAACTGAGAGGTCTTAAAGGCTCCTTCCAGACCAAACCATTCTGTTACTCCATGATTCTATGAATACTTGCTAGAACTTGCTAGAGATGCGTGTAGAGGTTTTACATGAAAAAAAGACAGAAAGCCACTAGAACCCAGCTGCCAGCTAATTATTTATAACAGGTGGGTTTTTAAATCTCTCCTTTCAGTTGATGCTTTTTGATCTGTAGGATAATGAAAAAAGGTGCAGCGAGAAAGCTAAACAGACAAGATTCTTAGGTTGAGTAGCAGGAGCACCTGTATCTGGAGAAAAGGAAGAGCAGTGACCCAAACTCTTGTGTCCTTGCCTGTAATTTTCTTTCCTGCTTTTGGGAAGGGACACTGAAGATCCAGGCTTTCCTTCAGTCACATTCCTACAGTCTGTTCACACCTCACATTCACCGTCACAAGAAGAAGGCAAGGGGAGAACAAAAGTATCTAAATTTCTTGTTCTTCCACAAATTTTTGGTACAGCCATGCTTCCTTGGAACACTCAGATATCCCAGATCCTACAGAAGTTTTAGTTGTGTTTGGGGTTTATTGGTTTTGCAATCAGAGGAAAACAACAACAATAAAAAACAGGAAAAACAAAAAGGCAAAAAAACACCATCCAAACCTCTAATTAAGAATAATTTAGTAAAGGTGAAAAACAACATAAGAGATAATAGCTATGAAGGGGTGCCCTTAAATGGATTTTACTAACTCCTTGTTAGTAAAACAAAGAACTCTTTGTTCTCATTAAGCATATTTAAGTATATTTTGAAGGAAGTGATGGAAATTGATGCTGAATAAAAGGGCCACAACCACGGCCTCAGTAAATTCAATAGTTTTGCTGTTCACTTCAATAGGCCAGGATTTCACCCTAAGGGTTTAGCATCAAGGTCAAAGACAGAGAGTAATAAAATAACCACATGGATGGGTTTTTTTCAATAAGTTCGAAAAAAACCAGAACTAAATAAAAAGGGTCTTAAAAGAACTCTGGGTTAAGGCTTTCAAGCCCTGCAGCCTTTTAGGGTCAATTCCTGTGGCAACAGTAAAAGAATGATGGTATGTGACACATCTGAGTGAACTGTGGCATATTTACATCTGTTAAACTTGTGAATTCCAGCCCCACAGAACATACATTTTAGTTCAAGAGGGCTTACTTTTCTGTAATTCAAATCTTGTTGTATCTACCTAGCTGGTTTGCTATTGCTGGATGCAGAAATTAAAAAAAGAAATCATACAAGGTTTAGGAGACCATAAATTACATTTTTCATAGCTGTGGCAGTAGTTTATAGAGAAACATTGAAAGGAAAAGCAAGGATGCATTCCTCATGACCCCAAAAAATGCATAACTGCCATCTTAAATTTCCCTCATCACCCAGTACTGACCACAGATAAAGCAGAATGAAGACATGGAAATATGCTTTCCAATTATTTCCAGTTTGGGGTTCTAGGAACATAAAGTATGTCTGTTGCTTGCAAACTTACTCTAACATTTACTTAGCAGTATTTTTTGAGGAGAAAGAGAAGAAAATGGGATTTGTGATTTCTTCAAATCAACTAAAATGCCTTGGTTTTTCTGGTGAATTAAATCAAAAGGTTTCCTGAAAAAAACCTTGAAATTCTGAGATTTCAGTGAGGAAGAAAACTTTTTTATGTGTCATCAGATTAACTCAGCAGAGAGGTGTTTCCCTGTTACAGATGTACAGGGGACAGCATCAGATTCTGTGCAGCAAATCACTATTTATGATATCCCCTTCTCTCTCTCCATATGGAGAAGGCTGGTGGCAGGACCAGGACTCTGCCAACAGTGAAAATATAGGGAGCCAATGGAAGAATCTGTATTATTCACCCAGACTCTCAGTCCCTCTAAAGAGGCACAAGGCAAGAGAGGATGAAAAATTCAGCTGCTGGTACCTATAAGAATCCAGTCCAAACCAGTACAGTGGTCCATGCAGGAACAGAAGGATAGTTCTGATTTAATTAAGTGCTCAGTGATTCTTCTGGTGCAAACAGGTCCAGGGAGAAGGGCCATGCCCTACAGATATACAGATTTTCTTGGTACAGATATACAGATTTTCTTGGGAATGCAGACAAGCAAAGGAAAAGCAGATATGTTTATTCCAGGATGACAAGATAGTTTTGTGACTGAAATGAGATATTTATCTAGGAAAGGAAGGAGGAAAGTATGTTTGATTTTAAACAGTTTTGAAAATTGAGGCCACCACTGTTTGTTGGCTGAAGAGTGGGGGAGCAGATCTGAGGGAGAAAAATGGGATGGAATTACCGCATTCTTGCACTGAAGGGAGGGAAATGAAAAATAATTAGACATGACTTTCTGTTTGGACTGGATCAGTCCATGCTTTCATGAGTCAAAAATAATAAATACAGTATTTGTAACATCATAAAATCCCCTGTAAAAAAGTCCAGTAGCAGTAAGTTTTTTGGAAGACGAGAAACAAATTACAGCAGGTTTACACTGAGAAAGCTTTAAGCCTTCAACATATCAGATATTTTGGGAATGATTTACCACCCTTTTCTCAAAATAAAATGTAAACTCAATGAGATGCAGACAGAAAACAGGCCTCCTATTGAACTTTGACACAAGAATAATGAAACCATCCATAATCTACATCTGATTTGTTTGGGAATCTTTTTCTCTCTATTTAAATTCCTTGCAAGAAAAAAAAAAAAAAAAAAAGGTTCTTGCTGAGAAAAGGGAGGAAAAGGCCTTATTTGAAATACATTTCATATATTTTAAGAATCACTCCTCTTGATTTCTAGTTACCATCTCCATGGATGTGACTTAAAAGCTACTGACACCAGAGTTGGAAGATTCTGCCTCATTTCAGTGGAGCTGAGATGTCTAAACCAGACATTTCATTTCCAGCATTTCACAGGCCACTTCTACCACAAAGCAAACCTCCCAGGAGGCAGGAGCAGGACTTTCTCAGTGGATCCCCAGTGCCTGAAGATCCCCTTGGCACCGGTGACAGACAGGGAAAGTTTTCCTGCTGTATTTGGAGCACTGTAGCAGCCTGTGGCAGAAAGGCACTAAGCTGTCAGTGTCTCTGCTTGCTCCAGGATCATCACAGAATGACATAAAGGCACCTTGGAAACATGTGGATTTCATCTGTAAACCCATAAAAATAGTCATAGATCAAGTAATAGATTTTAACACCTTTTATGGGTTATTGCTTTCCCCCACACTATCTCCCCTCCACTTTGTGCTAATTTGTATTCAATGCTGCTGTCCTGAGAGCTTCTCTGAAACTTCCCAAGAGATCTATCATACCTTGCCTGTTTTCCCTGGTTTTTAAAATTAATTTAAATCAATTATTTCATATATTCCATCATTTTCTTTAAGCCATTTAGTGAAGATATAGCCAATTATTCAATATAAAATACAACCAAATCATTTCACCACAATCAAAAATGTGATCCATCATCACATTCAATTAGAATCCACTGAAGGCAGTGGCAAAAGTCCCATTTAGCTGAATAAGGATCAAGTCTTTGATTTATTGTGCCACAGGAATAAAGCATAATTGAAAAGACTGGGATACATACGGGATTCCAATTTCAAAGAGATTGTTTTGAATCAGTTGCTTTCCAAGCATGATGATACTCAGCTGAATGCAGAGTTCCATCAGACACCCTCCTGGAGCACACTGAAATGAAACAAAAAATTAAAAAGATCATGAAGGGATTAAGATAATTTATTTTAAAATATCCATCTGGGAGAGCTGCCAGTGCCTTCATGTGCCCACTGTCCCTGTCACCAATTTGTGTGGGATCATGGAGCTCATAGATCACTGCAAATCTGTGCTTGACAAGGTATTTCATCTCCACCCATAAAACTGCATTATGGAAAATATGCAGAGCTCTGAAACAACTCATGTGCCCGGGGGCTCCTATATTTCCTTTAAAAATATTTACTATATAATCAATGTAATAAACATAATGCAGGATCACCAATACTCTTCCAACCTGATATCTCCCAGGGGGGAAAGAAAACCTTCAATCTTGCAAAAAAATTTATGTCAGCTTTATTGTCAAACCTTGAGTACATCTCTCAGCTTTCAAGGGAAGACCCACAGCAATCCCCTTCATGAGGGATTTTTTTTTAAAAAAAGACATTTATAGGTTTAGCACAAAATGGGTCCAGGATTTTAAGCTATTAAAATTGCCAAGCATCCAGTGATCTACAGAATGGGAAGTCAGATTCACACTTCCTGAAGGCCTCAAATAAATCATGGAATGTTTGTGCCTTAGCACCCAGTTTTAAAGCACAGAATGGTAAAGCTTTCTAAGATAGACCATGAAATAGTCAAAACTGCAGAAAGAAAGAACATACAGTTGCCTTAGATGGAAACCCTGGGTTTTGCCTGGTCAAGTTGAAGATTTAATCTCTTGTTTTAATATGGGTTTTCTACATTTCCCCTGTTGTCTGTAGTCTGCTGAACACTGTGCACATACTTCTTTGTGTAAAGGTTTTTATTTGTAATTTGAATTTTGTATGTACTTACCTCTTCCATCCTATAACCTTCAAACACATACACATAACGACCAGGACGGCCAACAAACCTGAAAGCAATAAGAATATATAAACTAGTATAAAAACAGGAAATATGCTAATTTTGACACCATGATTTAATATACAAGCACAAAAATAAGTTAACTGTGAAATCAAGATTATTCATTTGTATTAGCCAAAATATTTCAGAAGTAGCTTCTTCAATGTGAATTTTCAAGGGCTCAGCACCTATTCAGCTTTGATTATTTCAAAGCAATAGGCCTCTACAAATGGTTTTCTACTACATCCGGATAAAGTAATTTTAATAAAATATTTTTCAGTGCTGAAACAATATGACAATAAACCCCCTCACTTGATTAGAGATGGCAAACCTGGGGACACATATCCTATTTCACATTCTCTTACATGTGAGTAATGCCCTGAATGGAATTATTTGCATATCTATACACCAAGACTCTCCTGGCTACACCAGGAGAAACAATGATATTGACTTCATTCTAACCATACAACACAGAAACCTTGTCAAAAAAGAGAGAGTTTGGTGACCTTTTTCATTGGCATCTTACAATATTTGCAACCGCTAGCTAAATGCATGATTAATCCTCAAATGAAAGGTGCTGGACAGGATTAGTAAGGAGCAGAGATTAACAAATTTTACAGCCCCTAAAAGGAAAAGCAAAATGGTAGGAAACAGAATCCAGAGGATGTTTTAAACATTTCTTGCCAAAGTTTTAGCAAGGAATCATTTTAAGCTTCCCACTCAAAAGCATGTGGATGACTGGATCCCAAAAGACATGGATTCTGAGCCTATAGGAAGTCACACTTATTTAGCACGACAGCTGAACTAGTTTTTGGTCAATCACTTCATTTGCCAGTTGACTGTAACTATTTCTTAATTTGATATGGGAGAATAATGCAAAATAATGAGAAAGTAATAGAAGAAAGAGTTCCATAATTTTAAATGAAACAGGAAGACCTTTCTTTGCTGAATGATGCTTCAAGGAAAATTTGCTGAACTGTGGAAAGTTAATGCCAGTAAGCACCACCATTCATTATAAAAACAAGACCTTTTTTAAATACTAAAATGAATTATTAACTTTAGATAACCCTGTCAATGATATTTTTTCAGAGCTGGCAAGGATGACCAGTCCCAGACCTTTGTGCCCATTTTTAAACACAGATCCACTTATATAGACGCATACATAAAAATGCATACACAGAAATATATAATGTAAAGTATATTTATCCTACCTTCCTTTAAAAAAGGCAACATAAAAAATTGATGCATAAGAATTCACAAACTTCAGTAGGAATGCCTTCAAAATCAGTCTTTCCTCAAAATTTTTCTCTGTTTTTGGTATTTCTGGAGGGAAAAAAGCAAACCAGAGAACTGAATCAGTAAGTATAGAAAAGTCCCTGAATCCCCATATACTAAAAAAAAAAAAAAACAAACCAAACTTCAAACTTTGGGCTTATATTAATTTGTCTTTTGTACCTCTAATTTGTACCAAAGCCACTAGGTCTGTCACTGAGTCTTGATTTCCAGAGATATTCAATTCCACAAAGTAAAAGAATAAATTACTTTGCTGTATATATGGATATTAACATATGTATCACAGTATTACCTGGTTACACAACTAAAATAACAAAACCTTCATATTCTCAATAGAGGAATGCTGAAAGCAAAGCACAAAGACTTTCAACCAGAAAAAAACACCTTAAAAACATCCTTAACTTGTAGTCTACAAACAAGCCTTCCTTTCTATGGTGAGATTGTTGATATGTTTGATGGCTAGACATGAGACTAAATACATTTTTTAATAAGGTATTAAGTGACTTAAGTGCAAAATAAAGGCACATTTTTGCTAACAATTCACTATATATGACCTTTATTTCAAGTTTTCTTTGTTTAAATATTTTCAGTATTCTTTACTCTGTTTCCAGATTTATTTTCAATTCCTGTGGAAATTTTCTGGCAGCAGAAAACACAGGTATAAGACAAAGACTTTTCAACCTGATGGTAGGATCCTTTTTAAAATATTTTATATGGGTGAAACCCTTGTGTTTCTCCACTCATCCTGAGCTGTATCTAATGTGAGAGAAAATAATTTTATTATTAAATTTATCATTCTTGGCTGAACTTCTGTGGCACAAAAAATGTGTGGAATAATAAGGAGCTTTGGCTTAAGGACTTCATTAAAAATACAGCTGTACTTGTTTTGTTTTGTTTTGTTTCAGGCACAGTTTGAGTGTTCTGTTTGCTTCACTGTTGTTTTGGGGGTTTTTATCTTAGAAAAGCAGCATGATTATTTTAGCACTAAAGGAATAGAAAAGCGTAATTAGCCCTCACTGCCTGGCTTTCTTTGTGATACTTTCAACCACATTTTCATAAAAGATCAGTGCACAACCTGATGAGACCTAAGGCATAATACACCTATATGTATAAAAAAGCTTAATAAACCTTCAAACAATTTGTAGGTGATCCTATACACCAAATAGATCCACAAGTCAAGAGCTCAGGGAAGAAGGAATATTGAATAACAGCAGTGCAGCTTTTCATTTGAGGGAGAAAAATCCTAAACTTTGCCTTACAGAGAAACCCCTCCAAGGATGAGCTCAGCCTCTGGAAGAACATTTGCACACCATATATGGTCCCAGAGGCTCCCTCAGACATCCTATACCATAGCTGTAGAGGCATGTGTAGAATTTGTCCTCTAGCTCATCGGGCGTGCTGCATGAGAAATGCATTCAGCCAGAATAGGTGTGCTAGTAACAGAGAAAACTCCCATATCCCCAAAAAATTAAACACTCAGTGGTGGGTTGTTATGCTAAAATTGGGCAGCTGGAACTTTGCAGGTGGAGGATGAGTTGAGCTAAGGGTGGAATGGGCCTTAGCTGTCTGAAGGAGCTGCTGCCTTTGCAAGGGACAAACACAAGTAGTTTTGATTTTGTCCCTGTTTCACTGGTTCTTCCTTGGCCCCATGGCAAGGGGTTGGAAGGAGGTGAGCTTCAAGGTCCCTTCTAACCCAAACCATTCTGTGATTCTGAGTTACAAGTGAGCTGTAAATCTTGTCTGGCACCACCTGATTACTGAAGATTATCTATTCTTCCTGGAAATAGCAGGATACCACCTGCACCTTGGCTGGTCTCATCTGTGATAAAGGACATCAGTGCCCCACTCTGCTGGGCCTACAGGAGTCCTGCTCCACTCTGCAGGAGCTCTCTGTATTGATAACAACAAAACTCCCACTCTTTTCCTCCAGGCACTGGTTGAAGAGGTACTGAGGCACACACATGACTGTAATCCCATGATTAACACAATTGCTACCAGTACTATTTTTGTGCTAACAGATGTATTTTTCACCTGAACAGAGGTTCAAGTGTACTTGGGGTTGGCATAGAAACTTGTGCTGCCAAGAGCTACTCCTTCAGCCCAACAAATGTGTTCATCTTGTGGATTAAATGCAGTGTGAAAAGAGAACTGAGCATGTTTTTCTCCTCTCAGCAAAATGAGAGTTCACAAGTTAAGCAACATTTATCAACATGGTGAATTGTAATTTTTTAAAACATTGTGATTACATTTGGCATCTGAGCCTAGCACTGGAGAAAGCTGCCTGAGTGACCTTTGTAATTCATGTCATTTGTAGCACTAGAGATTATTTTGACTGGATCTTTCTTAAACAAAACATCTGATGGTTGATTAGGAATGCTGCCCTTATAGAGATAGGATTAGAATGAAATGCAAAGTGACAGGGGGACAATAATCAGCAAGTAAGAAATTGTTTCTTTCACCCTTCAGCCTGAAGCACATTTCAAAGGGAGAGATTTTCCTCCTGCACTTCCCAAGCAGAGGCCATGGCAATCCCTAGCATTTCCCAGCTCCTGCCTAGAAACTGCTGGAGAAGTCTCATCTTCATCTTTTCCTACTCTTTCCACACAGCTGTGTCATTCCTTAACATTTGTGCCCTTTCTTACGTGGGCAGGTGCAGTGAACAGAATTGATCAGGCCATACACAGCAGCCTGTCACTTATGTGAAAGCTGAAAATCTGGATACAAGTTTGGCTTGGACAGTGAGTCTGATCTCATTTATTATTTAGAACAGAGTCCATTTATGTAACCCTGTTACAATCTGCCTAAAGCCTGGTCGAAAACAAAAATAAACAAAATTAAACCAATAAAATGGCAATTTGAAAACTAATTGCTTTGTCTTCATTTCTTTCAAATACTTCAGGAATTTAAGCTGAACTAACAGGACCATACTTCCAAAATTCAGGACTGAAAGAGATGTTTTCGTCTGTGAATTTAAAAGTGTTCCGAGAAATTGAGAAGAAAGAGTAATCTTATGTAAGGGTGCTATAAGTCAATATTCTTGGTCTAATTTAATAAAACAAATTAATAAACAACAAACAGAATAAAAATAAAAAATAAATTTAAAACCCAAATAAAACAAATAAATAATAAATAATGATAATAAAACAAAGTCCCAATGTAAACACCTGTTAGTACACATCTTAAGCCTAATGCATATAACAAATCAATACTTCAGGCCTAAACCTCTATAGTAGTCAAAGGAATTACTTCCTTTCAAAAGAAATAAATAGCCAGGCTTGCAACAATATTTTGATGTTTAAAATAAATTTTTAAAGTCCAACCACTAACTGCAATAGTAATGATTATTAAGAAGTCCAGCCCAGAAATGGCCCTAAAACTGAAGAAAAAAATCATTTGAGCAGTAAGGAAATGGGTAAAACTTTCATCAAGGAAACAATATCAGAGTAACTTTGTCAGAACCATCAACATTTTTTGAACAACCCACTGACTTTCTGCAGCTCTTAGGTGTAAAGAGGTACTTTCACAGGCCTGAATGTTTTCACTGGCCCTATTCAGGAGGAAATACTCCTCCTGCACCCTCCTTACACTCCCTCGTGTCAATACACAAATTAACAAGGAATGGGGTGAGGCAGTTTTACCAATTTCTGTCAGCCATTTGGCCACAGCTCCATAAATTTCATCAAGGATGAGGACCACCACGAGGTTAATGATGACAGCAGTGGCAGTCACGGTCACTCGAACATTGGATCTGGTTGTCTCATTTGTGCTGAAGGACAAGGCTGCAGCTGTCGTGATTCGGTACACGATGACACCAAACACTGCTGAAAACGCCAGCATGATCTGCAAACAAATTAATACACAGGTTAGTCCAGCTTGGAAACAGAAGCTTTGGCTGCAAGGCTGGGTGTGTTCCATGAATCGGCATTGCAGAGTTGTTTCTTAGTGCAAGGTGATAATATGCAGGTGAACGAATTAAAAGGCAAGAACTCAAAGGTCTCCAACAAACAGGGACATAAATAAAAAATAAGAAAATGAATGCATGACTCCAAACTGGCACAACAATTCAACTGACACAAGATGCTCAGCAGGCTGGATGCTCGGATGCTTCACAGAACCTGTCCCGCAAAGATAGGCTGAAAGAGTTTGGATTGTCGACCCTGGAAAAGAGAAGACTCCAGGGAGATCTTATACCACCTTTCAGTATCTAAAGGAGGGTAATGAAAAAGAGGGAAAGTGACTTTTTACATGGGCTGGTAGTGGTAGGAAAAAGGAGGATGGTTTTAAACCAAGAGAGAACACTTCTTTATTAGATATTAGGAAGAAATTCTTTCCTGTGGGGGGTTGAGACCCTGGCACAGGTTGCCCAGAGAAACTGTGGCTGCCCCATCCCTGGAAGTGTTCCAAGCCAGGTTTGATGGGGCTCTGAGTGTCCTGATCCCATGAGTGACATCCTTGCCACTAGCAGGGCATTAGAATTAAATAACATTTAAGGTTCCTTTCAACCCAAACTAATCTGTGATTCTTTTATACTGATTCCATGGATTCCTGCAGAAGGGAATGTTTGTTCTGATTAAAGCTACACACATCATTCATGCAGTGAAATGTGGGCATTTGGGGCTCAAAAGCAGGAATTAAGCAAGGTCTTTTATCTGGCAATAGGTTTCCATGGCTTGGACTGAAGGGTCTGTATTACATGCAGTCAGGTAAATGGGCTTTACTGTGCTCAAACAGCTTCACCTGTGCACAGTAAAAGTACCAACTTACAAATTAAAAAAATAAAAAGTTACTGTTCTTTTAAGAATGACCTAAGTAGAGTTATAAGGGCTTCATTTTTGCATTTGTGTCCCAGAAATCACTTGGTATCCCTGGCATCCCTGATGGGCTGGCTTTGACCATCTTTGATGAGGTGAGGAAAGTTGGACCTGCTACTTAAGGTCAAGTTCCCATAAGAAGAATTTGAAATTCACAGGATTGTGGTATTCTGGTTTAAAATAAATAAAAAAAGAAATCTAAACCAA